TCAAAGTACATTTATCTGCACTCTCACCTGGTACACCCGTTTTCTATGGACAGCAGAAGCGGCAGCTCTGTGTTTGTTTACATTCTCGTCCGACTTGAGATCGAATTGGCGCATGGGGCCACTTTGATACGAAATTCGAAGCAAACATATTTATAATTTATTATTTATAATTTATATATTTATTATTTATAATTTAATATTTATAATTTATTATTTATATTCTCATAAGCCGGATGTTTTAATCATTCTACGGTAATTATTCGGAAGACCTTCTTCGCGTAACCGATCGAGATGATTTTGGTGTCGATAGATTCCTCCAATTCAAATTATGGCGCGGAAAACAACCTTTTAGTGACAATCTTGACCTCGACAACAAGGGGGGGGGATGAAAGGTACCATGGAACTTGCGGGGTTGAATATGAACGTACACAGAATCAGTCACTGTATTGCCGGATGCAGAGGACTGTGCCCCCTCCGACCTACCTTCCTGGAGTTATACCGCCCCTCCCCCTCCCCCCCGCAATGGAACTAAATCCTCTAAGCATTCTCTGTAAGGTAGAACGTACGACCGACATGCTGAGTACCCAAGAACGTGTCTGTCCCACGCTCTATCCTGTCGTTCATACGTGGACTCTTTGTTGTCCATGGCGGAGGTTAGATTGTGGCCAAGATTGTGGGTATGGGCGAAAGGGGGGGGGTGAGGGTATTCCGCGGTATAATTCCTATAAATTTGGGTAGCACAGAGGGAGAGGAATCCATCGATACCAATATCGTTGTTATAAGTCATACGGAAGTATTCCGAATCTGTACCATTTGTACCGAGAGTATTGGTATCGAGTAGAGTGGTTTACCATACAAACTTCTGCATATCTCGACAGCTTGTGCAAATGTTGATTGGTTCAGTTATCTAGACGAGGCATAGTTGAGCACGAGAGCTGGCACACAATGTTTCCCCCAACAAGACCAAGCGTGACTTTCCCCATCAAAAGCCTCCTCACTTTCTCACTTCCAAACTACTCTATGTCATACATTCAAAAGTTTTCCTTTACTAACATGTGTTATTTGACTCTGTAATACCTCGGCTAATAATGACTATAGATGTAGAAGCTCCATTGAAAATGTGACATCATCTGAGGTGGCAGGTAGCACGCTGAAAGTCGCACGTGGTGAATGCAACGCCCCACGCCACTTCTGTGCGAGAGGCTCCAAATATCTCTGAATATCCCTTGTCAAGTGAAGTGCCACTTTGGTATAGAAACGGTTGTGTCAAAAATTG